TATCAGAGATTGTTACATAGTATATAACTAATACTTGCCAGAAATTCCTGCAGCTACTGTAATGTTGTAGGCCTCTTGATAACCTCTTGGACCAGTTTTTTCTTTTTCTTCATCAATTTTGGAGGGATATCCAGTTCTTGGTAATGTCATTGTTGTGCCATATTTTCTCTACTTCTTGATGACCATCTTCATTGTGTTCCATGATATATCAAATGCATGGGGGGGGGGGGGTTGTACCCTTCTCCTGACTGATACTTTCCAATAATGAGAGCCCTTTGATGATTTGTAAACTGTTTGCACACCATGGCTTTCCTGTAAAATGCAACTGAGAGTAGATGTCCGAAAAATCCTGACACAACAGCTGAACTTTTATGGATTTGATCAGAGTCACTTTTAATTGTTGGCAGATGTATACTGACTATTTACCATCAGTTTGAATGTGATGGGTTGGTTCTGAACATAGCCATGTCCCTGATTGTAAGAGGGTATGCACACTTATGCAACTACACTATTGTACGTTTTTTATTGCTGTTTACCCCCCTAAAAGATTCCAGTTTGTTTTTTGGTTGAATTGTACAACCTATATGTTACATTAAAGGTGGAAAAATTCTAAAGTGATTTATTTTGGTTTGATTTTTTTTAACATCTCAAAAAACCCGGCATTTTAATAGGGTGTGTAGACTTTATATATCCACTGTAGTTCTCAATACAAAGTTGTAAATTGTATGACAGATTGGACTGAATCTTTGGTACTTAGAACAATTTTTAAACTCCCATCTTATAGATTAGAGTAATATAATGTGATCTGTCTGCTCTTTCAACTTTTTTTTTTTGCAGAAATACTTTTCTATGATTTGCTAGGGTTTTTTTTGCAACTCCAAAATAAGTAAAAATAGCCATACAACTTTTATACAAATATGTGTACTGTAACAAAACCAACACGGATCACTTCTTGTTTTGTTATAGAGAGACAATAATTTGATTTTATTGATTTGTTGGAGCTATATTAAAATAAAGTAATACATGTGCTCCAAATTATTTAAAAATAGGAAATTAATTACATTACATAAGATGCGGCATAGGAAAGCCTATACGACATGCACAGCGCATTTTATAGGCAAAAAATGCTACAATTTTAAGGGATTTTTAAAAACTTCTGGTACACAAGGAAACAATAAATCAAAATATGCCCCTTTCTTCCTATTAGGGATTTTTTTTGTCTGAGTCACAACTGGGAACTACATGGACAAGACTTGTAAAGAATAATGAATAGGAACTTTTTTAAAATCCATACTGTATTACTTGGAAATCGGTTCCATTTGATACAAGTAGAGATATGGTCTCTTTGTTACTTTGATCTATTGTTAACTTTGAAGCACACCTAACTTTCTTGCAAACTTCTATATATTCAGATATAATCTAGCATTATTAAAATCATGAGGTTTTAGTAGAATACCTGAATCTGACATAATATATAACCTAGTACAGTTTATTTTGTCAAATCCTTAACTTTATAGTAAGAGAAAGGATTCCTAATACGCACTTGATTAGAAGGAAATTTTTACTCCCTTTTAAGTGCATTTCTGCATTTCACAGCCTTTCCACAGATAGGCAGAACAAATACTTGCTTACTGCTACCAAAATTATTGGCAGCTAGGAATATTAGTAGGGTATGAAAGTTCAGAGTGGTGATTGGTCACCTGTGCTTGATTGACAGGTTACAGGGAAAAACAAAAACCCATTTGTTCTGGATTAATGGAAGTGGAAAACAGAAAATCAGGTATCAGGTAAAATTCTTTTTAAAATATTTGGAGTTCTTTAGATGGGTTGCAAGCAGTCAAATATAGAACTTGTATTAAACTGAAAAAACAACTAGTTCAGCTATGTACTTACCATCTCACTGGAAACATTGGGAAGGAGTAAATTATACAGCATTCCATGGGTTGTGTTTTTTTAACCAGAAAGACAAATTACTATTAATAATTGAATTCTGGCTAGAGTTTTCATTCAAGTATACAAAAACAAAATAAGAAATAGGCAATGGTTCTTTTAGGTCTAGGACAACTCGCTGAGGCCACCTTACTATGGCCTACTCACTGTGTAACAGTTCATTGGAGCCATCTCGCAAGGAATAATTCCACGAAGGAAAACTGTTGTCCACCACAATTCTTTTGACATTATTTCCATTGAAAAAAATAAAAAGAATGTCAAAGAAACAAGGGAAGATTGAGTTGAGTTGTCCCATGGTGAGTTGGCCATGGTGAGTTGGCCATGGCGAGTTGCCTGCAGCAAGTTGGCCATGGTGAGATGACTGTGGTAAGATGGCCACAGCAAATTGTCCCATTCCAAGTTATATTAATCAAGGATGAATCCTCACCTTTTACAGCTTCTTATTTTAATAATTAAATAGCCTGATTCTAAACATGTTTACTTTGAAATAAATTTAGTGAGTTAGGTTTGGTCAGAAGTTAATTTGATGAGTCTCCTCAATAGTTAATTAATTTTCAGATTTCTTACACTATACATAATCAAATATAAGCATAGTTTTCCTGATTCTGGGAACTCGATTTCATTTACAAATCAAAATGAATGATATATTGATTGTTTCTATTTAATAGGATTTTCTTTTTAATAGGTTGCATCACATTTTTGAAAATGAGATAGATTTCTGGTACTTAGTACTAATGCATGTGCTGCTGTATTTCAGATTGAAGGACAAGGACACGGAGCTGTTTTTGACTGCAAGTGCTCTCCTGATGGCCAGCATTTTGCATGTACAGATTCCCATGGGCACCTCTTAATATTTGGATTTGGTTCCAGTAGCAAATATGATAAGGTATTATACAAGAAACTGTTTAATTTGTAATTTTTGCATA